GCCGCTCGCAGCCTCCCTCCACCCAAACCGGCGCCTTCTCTGGAACTGGATTGGGAAAAGGAGTTTTTCCAGTTCGGACCTTTGCAGCGATTCTGGGACGTGTCTGTGCGTTTCCTGGCCTGTGAAATTCTGCTGGAGGCGCGGCAGGTCATTGCTGCATTGCTAAGCAAGACCGCCGGCCTGCTGCTTACCACAAGTAGCTGATAACGTGCCTCAGGCCACCCTGTACGGACGCTCCTGCCGTCTCGTTGCTAGCAGCACGGTTTCTCCATCAAGTGCGTGGGTCTGCTGGGGATGAGGAACGGCGTGTTGATAGCCGTTCTTTGGAGCTAAGCAAGACGCGTTCGGTTGGTGGAGCCCGCTGTCCGTACTCACGCTGCTTCCAGACTGACACGTTAGGCTTCAGCTAGTTCAGGGATCACCTTGCGCAGTTCACTTGCTTCTTAAAATCCCTTTCTAAAAGCCTTAACCTGTCCTGCACAGCTGCAGGGGGGCAGAGAGGTAGCCAACAAGGCTTTCCTTCACCCCTGAACTTCTCTCTTGGTGGCAGATTGGCCTACAGTATCGGCCTTACAATAGAGCAGCTTTCAATATTCTTAAAATCCATGATTATGTTATTACGTTATGGAAGGCATCTGGAATAGGTGGGCTGTGTTGTACTGACATAAATTTAGAGAGAGACCTAAATTTAAACTAAAAGCCAGATATTTTCCATTTGCTCAAAAACTGTCCCCGTTACAGGCTTGCTCACAGCCACGTCTGGTGAAACATCCCCCAAATTCCTCTAAAACACTACAGCAATAGGCTCCTATCTTTCCCATCAGCCAGAAGGGAAAATTTGTTTTTTTACCAGTGGCCTCACATGGGCCTTCAGAAAATCCAGCAGATGAATCTGTGATGAAGACCTACAAAGAAATGCAATCAGATGGAAGTATTTACGGCACAGATATTTCCAGTGAATGAAATCTCCATGACTCCCAACTATTTTGAATTATTTCTAATCAGCAAAAGGCATGGCTTTACTGAATGTGTTTAAGGACTGAACTCTATAAAAAATGGGAATCAAGACAGCCATGAGACCCTCCCACAAATGCAGACAGATATCTAAGTTAGAAAGACTATTTATGGCCATCACTAGCAGAGGAGCGTCTTAATGTCTGATAGGCTTATGTCAAGCATATGATGTACATCAGTGCCAGTTGCTCAGCAGTCTCTTTCCGAAACTCACCTGCATCTCACTGTCTGTGACTGAGCTTCAGAACAAGAACGAGGTTTTTGTCAGGCTCTCTTTTCTGCCTCAGTCTGCCAGGTAGCCATCTCACTGAGGACTCAGGTCTAAGTCCCAGTGTTGGCATAAGGAAGAAATAGAAATGCACAGACACGGTTAGAAAATGAAGGCAGGACTGGATCAGGACTGACTTAGATTGGTTCAAGCTGTTACAAAATGGCATCCTAAAAGAGCAAGCAGCTGTAGCTATCTACACCTCTTTTAAATACATCGGAAAGTATGAGTTGAAAAAAAAGTTGGAAGCAAGGAGAAAGGAATTTTGGATTTAGGTCTTCTGCCAATTCATATGAAATCTCTACAACTACAAGTTCATGTAATCTTTACTGAAAAACAAAATACATGACTCAGTTCTCTGCTAAAGTTAATCTAAGGCTAATCTCAACCACTTACCAATCTACTGATAAGAATGTGACCAACCATTGTTACGTGATTCGAAATTGTTGACGTGTTCCCACTTGCAAGCTTGCAAGGAGGCATCAGGCAATCTCATATTGCCCAATGGGGAGCGGGGGAAAGGGTCCTGCTTAAGCTGAAGTAAGAGAAGTCACCTCCTTGTCTGCAGTGCCAACAAAGCACGCTTTTGGTTGTACTTTGTATGTACAATGTATCTGTTCCTAATAAAGAAGGTAAAACTGTCTACAGGTATAATAACTGCACATTTCCAAAGATTCAGTTGTTTTCTTCTTTTAATATGCATCTCAGGATAAAAATCAGATTTCTTGTATTCAAATACGGAGGAGACAGTCTCTATTTAAATACAAAACATGTACAAATAATTCATAGTGTAAAGAAAGGTTTAGCAGACAATTACTGACCACTAGAGGGGACCATAGGAGTAGAGAAGTTGAATAAACTACCTAAAGTGCTTATAAATGTTTTCCTCTAACACAAGCTTGCCTACATGCAGTGCTATACTTACTGTACATGCACAGTTTAAAAATGATTGAGAAAAGACAGCATTTTATGCATGTTTAAGTCAATGCAAGTAGCTTGTTTCAAATAGATCAATAGCAAGTTTAAATGCTAAAATAAAATAACTTCTTTACACAGAATTTTTGCATCTAAAGTGATATAGGGTAAACCTGTTCGGCTTCCAGCTTCTATCTGTAAACAAGTACTAGCCATTCTTCTGACCTGCTAAAAAGACCCGAGATACTGTTCTTTAAACTTGCTGACATTTGAACAAGTGTAACTTGTCAATTTAAAAATGATTTTTAAAATTGATGTTAACCCTTCCATGAACTCTTTATTCTCTCTAAGGATGATTTGAAGGTACCCACCCTGGGCTATATCAACTTCGTTAGATCATTTTGGAACCAGACTGCTAGTTAAAATTGGTCTATAAATAAATTACGTCAATGTTGCAAGTGAAGTAGCTGTGAATGATAGTCTACTAACTTCACTGAAACTGTCCAGATTTATACTAGCTACAAGAATTTTGCCTCTTCCGTAACTAGAACGACCCTATTTAGCTTGAAACTGGCCTCCTGTTATAAACATCTGAGTTAGACATCACCTTTCTAACTTCACCCAGACCAAACCAAGTCACATGAAGTAATGGCATGCAAGTTCTCAATCCACAATGAATTCTTTCTTGAAATTATGCAGAATGATAAATTCTGCAGAACAAAAGTTTCAATTTTTTGAAAATGGAAGGAGTAAAAGAACTGCTCTCAAACTGTTTCCTTGAGGCACATGTCTCTGCAAAGACAGTGGAGGAAAGGTCAGAAGTAGGCAGTCATCAACTCCACATACCCCTCTAGTGAGAGCAGCACAAGCCTGGCAAACACGTTGTCCACCGATTGCAGTCTTGACTATTCGTCCTTCTCCAGTAGTTGTCTGAGGAAGCAGTGGTTCTTCATTATCCACAAGTTGGAATAAAATCAGTAAAGCAGAGTCTAGCTCTGTAATGCTATTAACTTAACAGCGCGTAGTTGAAGTTACTGAGATTTTTGTCATTTATTTTAAGAGGAGTAGGAGTGGGGCTTAAATAATACAGCAAGATGTGTTTTTACCTTTTGGCATGACTGCTACAAAAAAGTATAATTACTTGCAGCCCTGGCATCCATGTTTGTCCCTTAGCTTCTGTTTTTTCTAGTGCTGCATTACAAGAGAAAACTGAGGACTACTGAAAGAACCTAACATATATTCCTAGATTTTTTTTCTTTAAGTGGACTCTTACACTGAATGTATTTATATATTACAACATAGCAAGAAAGCTGTTGCTCCTTCTTGCTAAGGTGCAACCGTACAAAGGGGAAAGCTGAGTAGCTCAGGAAGTTGACAGCACCCTTCCCCTCTATGTCACTGGACTGAATTTTATTTTCTCTCCACTGCCAGGATAGTCGTTACATTGTGAGGAGTGTTTACTTCTGAAATTTCTCATACTTTTTTTTTAAGAGGAGGTGTGAAGATGATTTAGTCTCTAGGTGTACATTGAATCTTTGTTTGCAGAGAGGAGAAGGCTGAGTAGCGGTCATAATTTTGTGGCTGTTATTCCATTATGAATGAGACTAAAGCCTCCAACTACTGCAACATATGCTACTAAGTGAGCAAAAAAAAAAAAAAACAGACCTGCAGTACGTCTAGCCCCTGCTGTAGCAAACGCTCAGCCTGGCAGGACAAAGCAATGAATATTCCAAGTTCATATTTCTCATTCTTTTAAAAATAAACTATGCCCATTTTGCTCTTCAGACCATATGGCATGAATCATTTCAGTGAAGCATTCATCACATTATGATTTACACTGACATTATTTCGTAGAAGTTAAGTGGTGGAGCTTCACTGTGAGGAGCTGCATGTATTGCAGTCTTTCTCTGTTCTGTTTCATTGGTTTCACTGAAAAGTAACTTTATTCATCTTAGCAGAAAACTAGAATAATGAATGAAAAACCAAGCCCAAAGTGTTTTTGCTTTTAGATTTTCTGGCTGAAAATTAATCGCTTCATAAATGCACAAAAAAAATTTTATTTGAAGCTTTTATGCTCATATATATATGACATATTCATTGGTACTTGTTTGATGCTTATCCTGTTTTCTTTGGAAGAAAGCAAGAGCATAGAAGTCTTATGACAGCTCTTATGCAAGCACACATTTAATTAAAATATGCTGAAGATTTAAATGAAGAAGGTATGTGACTGGATGCATGAGTCACCTGAGAGGGATTCTCTGAGGTCAGAAACCTGCTACCAAGTCGCCACAACCGACGTCAGTAGCGCTAGGAGATTACAGAGTTTTCCAGGAAAGCACACGCGCTAGGGCAACACAGTCTTTACGTTGCCTGCATAGAGATACTAAGCCTATAGATTTGTGAAAGTTCACTCTTTCAGCTCGTGACTGTCACTTTGTCTCACTACCTGTTTCTTTATTCCATAGGTTTGCCACATTAGAGTGAATTTTCTGTACTTTTTTCCTATTAGCTTCTTTCTGATGAGCAGAACAGAAATCAAAGAGGAGGATCCTTTTGGATGTAGTAAGACAAAATGGCTGCTCTGCTATTCACATACATGGTGTAACCTTGGGAAATCACTCAAAACTCTCTGTGCATCAGGTGTGGAAAACAAACTGTTATCTGGATACTAAAGATGGTAGACTAAGACTTAATGAAATTGAGAAATAGTAATAGTCATCATACGCTCCTCAACTGATAAAACATTAAGTAGCAAAATTTCTATCCTAGTCAAAATAAAAGACAAGAAACGTGAGATAGATATTAATGGTGGGAATTGTTTCCTTCTAAAAAAAAAAAAATCAAAACACTATAAAATGGCAAATGTCAGGTCCTGAATGTAAAGCTGAGAGTTTCAAAGTATGAGACATCCGTTCCACTGGGGCTTGACTCACAAGTCATATTTCACAAATTGTAGCAAAACTGGGTTCTTAACATATTGGAATAAAGATTTTTAACAAGCTTCCATCTGTTAAACCAGCAAGTTGGCTGGGTATGATCATGCCTGCTGTTTTAATAAATAGCCAGCATCATTTTTCAAACCACAGCTTC